GCGACCTGACTCGCCGAGTCTATCCATGGACTCGCCGAGTCACCCTCCGATACTTACACTTTTTGCCCTTCAACTCTACTCTTGCGATTCCGGGATGTTACATGACGCGTGCACAAATTTTAGCTAAGAATGAAATACAGAATGTTTACCAGGAATACTATATGTTCAATGTGTTTATTTCGAAACTTGAACACAAAAAAGTAAAGGTTACATTAGAACACTCAGACTAGGTTGTTGTAATGCAATATGAACTAGCAAAATTTAACATAACTAAGTTTGGAGGTTAATTCCTAAACCAGACAATGTTTCATAAATTGGGTTAAAATGGATCTTCAAAATAAGACTGATAAAGAAGGTAATGTGATTCGCAATAAGTCAAGATTAGTTGTTAAAGGTTATCCTTAAGAAGAAGGAATAGATTGTGATGAAACCTTTGCCCCTATTATAAGACTCGAGGCTGTTTGCATCTTTCTTGATTATGAAACACACAAAGATTTTGAGGTGTATCAAATGGACGTCAAATGTGCCTTGGTGAATGGTGAATTAGAGGAAACGGTCTATGTCGAACAACCACCAGGTTTCGTCAGTGATAAGTATCCTGATTATTGTTATGTTCTCGATAAGGCAATTTATGGGTTGAAATAAGCACCTCGTGCCTGGTATGCAACCTTAACCAATGTTTTTTGGAAATTGCTAAATTTAAACAAGGATCATATGATCCCACATTATTTTGAAAGAAAGTGGGGAATCACTTGATGCTTTTTCAAATTTACGTCAATGATATAGTTTTTGGTTCAACTAACCCTTTATTGTCGAAGGAATTTGAAGATTTAATCAAAAGTAAGTTCAAAATAAGAATGATGGTCAAAATAAATAATTTTCTAGGTGTACATATTCGTCAAAGTAGGGAAGGCATTTTCATCAATCAAGAGACATACACGGGAAGCCTGCTAGAAAGATTTGGTATGACGAATAGCACAATATTGAAAGTACCAATGGCTGTTGGAACACGCTGGAATCCTTTGTTGGATAAGAAAGCTGTGGACCTCACTACATATTGAAGCTTGATTGGTTCACTTTTATACTTAAATATGAGTAGACCTGATATCATGTTTGTTGCATGTAACTGTGCCAAGTATCAATCGAATCCAAGATAACTCTATCTTACTATTGTGAAGAACATATTTCGCTATCTTAAGGAAATATTGTCGTTGGAATTTGGTTTCCTTCATATTCAAGATTCTTTGTTTAATAATTTTCACATGTAAAATGTGGTGGATGTCAACTGGATCGCAAAAGCCAACTGGTGGATGTCAGTTACTAGATGGGAAGCCTGTAAGCTGGCAATCGAAGAAACAAACATGTGTTTCAATTTCTATAGCCGAAGCAAAGTATGTTGCAACTGCAGCTTGCACTTCTCAAGTTATATGGATTCTAAGCAAACTTCATGATTATGTAATCAATATGAAGCATATCCCTTTATATTGTGATTCCCAAAGTCCTATTGTCATCTGTCATAATCCAGTTCTACATTCATCGACAAAACATATAGCTATTCGATATCATATAATCAAGGATCATGTCGAAGATGGGAATATAGAGGTCCATTTTATCAAAACAAAGGATCAACTTGCAAACATAATCACATAACCTTTAGATGAGAAATCGCTTTTCAGAATTTTGAATGGTTTAGGAATGGTTGATACAACCTCTATTCCTGGTTCTTCGTCAATAAACAGATGTCAAAGTACTGCTGAAGTATTCAAAGGTTACTATTCACGGTTCAACATTCGCATACCTTCGGTTTCAAGATTCCTATTAATGGTTCAAATCACTCTTCGCTTTTTGGAGAGAAAAACTATTGGATGTACACTGTCTCTGGGAGTTGCTACTTCTTACATCGAAAGTCTTTCGTAACACTTTGTTACATTTTTTCCTAGTTTTATAAAACAAAAATTCCAAAAATATTTCTTATTTTTTGTCTTTAATTTTCAAAAAGAAAAGTTCCAAACATATTTTCTTATTTTTGTCTTTATTTTTCAAAAGCAAAAATCCAAAAATATTTTATTTATTTATTTTTTATTATTTAATATTGTGTTTAAGCTTTTTGTGACTCATTGTATCAACATACGGTGGTGTCGAATGTTTAATTAATTACATCCAGAAGTGGGACAAGTATGATTTTGAACTACTGCACTAGTTAGGCGCCCTTAGAAGCATGATGTTGTATGTTTCCTTAATCCTCAAATACTTTATGTGTTCGAAGCCTTAATGGATCTCTCACTACGAGTGTTCATTCCCAATCTGACTATATTCACATTTGTCGAAGAGCTACCTTTCTCTTCTCATTTTGAGTAAAGAGATTTCTGCTATCTCCATCTCTTTCGTAGAGGTACTATGATTTTCCTTAAACAATCTTTTCACCAAAAAATTTCTTCATGATCACACACATCACTACATATCCTTGACATCTTTGGTAGAAACTAACCAAAATGTATATATTACACAAGTCTGTGTTTATGATCTCTATTCATTTTTCCTTGATTATGGTGAAACCCAACAATCGTAACTTTTAAGGATTTGATGGTGAACATCCTGTTCAAGTCTGTGTTTATGGTCTCGATTGTACTTCACAGAAAACCACGCAAGTAGTTTGTTATCTCTCTTGATGTCGAATGAAGAGATCTTTTCTTGGTGTCCAACTGCTTTCGCATCAAATGTTATTTAATGTCACTATTTACATATTTTTGAATTTGATTCTAACAAATTCTTTTGCACACATTTACACTAGAATCCTCGAGGTTTTGGGTAATACCAATTTGAAACCTAGATTTCGCAAATTCCAGCATATGATTTCGCTTTATAATCCCAAAGGCGAATGAGACTAACGTCATAGCGAAGGTCTGGTGTTCACTTAATGGTGAAACATTATAGTGACTATTCGAAACATGTGACATTTCTTATCCTATTGAGAACAACAAAATGTTCAGCGGATGTAACGGTTCAGTCTTTCATTAGTTGTTAGGAAATTGTGATGATCACTTTTTCTGATGTAGCGACTTTTACAGTTACTGATCCCATAACCAAGGAAACTCAGGGAGAAATCTGATTAGTTACAGGTTCAAATTCAAATTATAAGTTGACTATAAAAGGAATTTGATTATGTAAATCGAAGAATTTATGCTCTTTGGTCAAATTTTCCCCAAAATTCTTCAAAGATAATCGTCTTCACACATTTCTTGCAAACCCTAACCATGGTGACTCCTACTGGAAATGTTTATCCTTCCAACACCAGAAATCAAGAGGAGACTTCCCAACCACTGCTTAAGATTCAAAGTTCAAATCTTTGTTTACAGCCATATGTCATGCAATATCCTAAACAATTTCAGATGTTGATTGTAGCCCTAAATCACTTTGTACTTTTAGTTGTCATGTCATCTTCATTCTTTGTTCCTATGACTTGGTTATCACTAGCGGGATCAATGGCGATGTTTAATAAAACAACGAAGGTTGTGACATTCCAACTGACAAACAATAAACTACAAAAGATCACCAAGAAATAGTTTACTCTATTCATGAAGCTTCCGTACTCAGGTCTATTCTATAAGTAACGAATGAACAAATTGTTTATTTATTAAATGAGATGGGTCATCAACCACCTCTCATTGGGATTAGTCAGTTTTGCAAGTCGATTTTCCTTGTGTGTGGAATTTCCTATTTGTTATTTTTCTAAGATGTTTGATTGGTCATAGTTTAAGGCTTGATAAGGTGAAGTTGGAGGTGTATACAATGATTGCAGATCTTTATTACGAACTAAATGTCAATTATGTAACTCAACTATGGGAAAAGTTTGTTACATGAATCTCTCACACCAATGTAACGAATGGTGTATCTTGTGCAGGATATTGGAGATTAATTCTACAGGATGTGTATGAAAAAGAAGGGAGTTTGGTTTCATCAGAGGATGAAAAGGCAGAGTTTTCGATGTTGGAGACTCCAAACTGGTTACTGATCATCTAGTTATTTTTCTGAGTGTGGCTTGAATTCTCGATGCCCTGTTAAGACGAATTAATCCAGCAAATCCGATTCTAGTTCAATATTCGACAATTATTAACCCAAATGTTACAGTTGGGGTTCTTTTACCAAAAGGGGTTGAGGTTACATTGTAGGCTGCTAAAGCTTCAAAGAAGATTGAACAACCAAAATATGTGCATGACCATGTAGAGAAAGAGGTTTCAAAACCTGTTTAAGAGAGTGTGGAAAAATAATTTCCTAAGGAGGTTGTTCCTTCGAAGACAGGCATTCTCAAAAGAACAAAGAAGCCTACTCATCGACCTCGTCATTCTCCTGAGAGGCCAATAGTTGAAGAAGTTTATAAGCATGCGTCTTCAACAAAGGGGATAAAGAAGATTTGAAAATTCAACTTAACAGAAGAGATGTGCTCATTCACAAAGTTCCTGCTCCTATGTCCCCTACTCCCAAGAAACGTAAAGCTCATGAAATGGTTAAAACTGATACTGACAGTGAAAGCGAAAGGTCAAACACTCGTTATGATGATATTGGTTTTGGTTCACCTCAATGGGATTCTCCAGTCAAGTCGATTTTCCGAGGAGACTGAAGCTCCTGGTGGCAATGTGCAAGTATCTAATACGGATACAACCACCAATTTGAGTGATACTCCATTTACTTCCATACTTGAGAAGGCAACAGTCACACCACCCAAGGTTTCGTTAATCGAGTCCATTACGGAGGAGGTTCGAATCTCAGGCATCTTCGTGAGCATATCTGATACGAACACAAATGTCACTATGGGTAAATGGATGATGAATAACGAAGCCCTTGGTACTTCTCATCATAAAACCTTTACTATTCCTACAATACTTAACCTCTCTTCTACCATCAAAACCACATTAATTGATACCTCAACTTTGTTACCACCCTTCTCTTATCCAGTACCATACTCACTTCCTGCTTCTAAAATCTCACTAACATTTTCCAATATGATGAATGAACCAATCATAACCCTTTTCTCTTCACAATCCACAGAAGGAGAAATGATAGTTCCAGAAGATGAACTTGATGATGATGAATTTATGGTTTCTTTTGCAGATTTACAATTTGATCTTGAAGAAGACAATATTCCTGATAATATGCCCATGTCAAGAAAAAATTTTAAGATTCTCAATAAAAATCTTAACTCTTTGTTACAAATCCAAGTTGATACAGGAGGAAAAAACTTTGTTTCTGGGGTTGAAGTGGAGTTTATGCTCACTGCCTTAAGATTTCAGTGGTGAAAATTGAGCAACAATATGTTGATCGATATAAGAATCATGCTCTTAATTTTGAATATGAGGTTAAAAAACTTCGTGATTTTGCTAAAGAACGTCATGAAATTTTTGTTGAGTAAGTTAAGAAGTTGGAGGAATCTATAAATCTCAAGGTGGTAGAGCTTAAGTTCGAAATGACGAAAGAAGTGGAGAAGATAGAGAAGAATTACTCCCTTCTTCATGGAAAAGTTGATGTCATTGCTGATGCAATAAAGAAGCTTGTGGAATATAAAACCTTGTATTCAACCAAGCTGGATGCAAAAACATAACAATATTCCAAAGGTTTTGAAAAGATGGAGGAATTTTTGAGCAGCTTAAAAGAATCTCTTTTGAAGGTGATATTTCCCAACAATCTTTGGTTTCTCACGAATCTATTTCCAAGATGATCTCTTCTATTGAATCGAACATGAAGGCAGAGGTTGATCCCATCCTTAAGTTAGTACTTCTATTACCATCTAATGCTCCACCTGTGAAGCATGTGGTGCAAAGGGGAGAAAAAGGATGCAAATGAGTTGGCCCTTCGAAAGATGCTGGTAAGGGTGCAGTTGTAGGGAAGGTGACATCGACTCAAATTTCGACATCACTTCTAGTTTCGTTGATAGCAACTTCTATAACTACAACATTAAGACAAATAAAAAAAATGGATTGTCATTGGAAAAAGGGTTGGAGGCTCAGGGTCAATTTTGAAACTACCTCCATTGAAAGATGATAAGGGAGATAATAGAAAAGGCATTGAGAAAGTTCCTACTAAAGAAGAAAAGAAGAAGAATTTGGAGATGGAAAATGAAAGGCAAAGACAGATCAATAGCATTCTGAGGTAAAGATAGAATGATCCACGAGGTTTGAACAAGGGTGATCCCAAAAAACATTAGTGCTATGAAACTATTGAGCAAGTTATTTATGTGGGAAAGATGCATGATTTTCGTAAGGCTCCAAAGAAAAGATATGATGACGAAAACTCAAACTTCAATCAACTCGATTTTCCTATCAATCACATGACTTATATTTCTTATCAGTATAAGCTGGTTGATAAATTCAAAGACAAGGCGGAATATAAAAGATTGAAGATAAGATTTCATGCGGCCTTAGGCAAACGCGAAGAAGAGATTTGGTTTGTTGTGTAGATCACCAAAGTGATGTCAATCATTAGGGAAAACTTGTTCAACTGCATACTTAAATTTTTTTAATATGTTGTGGTAAGGGAGAAGAACATTGTATGTGAGTTCACTGTTGTAGATTTCCGTTTGATGAATCTGAATGACCTTGTCATAGTGACGATTATTCTCAACAATGTGGATGTATCAAAACTTTCAGAAAATAACAAGGATAATTTTGTTATCAGCTTCGCTCATATCAATGTGGTCATCAACAATTACTATGATTGCCTTACTTTCACTGATATCAAGCTTGCCATGGCCGTCAACAAGACTTTGAAAGTACCCCAATATTTGCTGAAAAGGAAGATTAATATGGACAAACATGAAGATGGAGAGATTATTCATAAACCTCTGGGGGTATTTTTTTTCTGGCAAGAACAAGAATAAGAAATTGACAAAGTTTTTGTTCGAAGTGGATGATGTCGAGAGGTACACGAATGTTCAGTATACAAGCCTGCTTAGAATCAATAATTAGAATAGTGCAAAAGGTAAGGCTAAAATTCGGAAGACTATTCTATGGTACATGGATATTTTGCAACGCACTTCTCCTGACCATGAAGCTGATGGCGTGAGTTCGTCACTTCTCACTAAGGAGAAGATTGGAATGGTCGATTTGTCTAGTAAGGTGTCGAAGTCCTATTTGGTCCGTATAGTGTGGAATTCTAGCAATTCACTATGTATGTTTTTTGTAAGGCACTGTAAGATGTCGAAGCCTAATGTCTAGAGCTTACATATTTTTTGTGAGTCTGTATCACCATATAAAGAGGGTTAGTATAGAATTTGAATGTTGATTTTGGGAACTTCGGTCACTTTCTCTGTCTTGTACTTATATACTCTTTTAGACTAATCAATGAGACAACCAAAACTTATTTATGATTGTGTTCTTAATGCTTTTTGTTCTTGATTTTGTTCTTTAAACTCGATTCAAATGCACTACATGTACTGCTACCACCACCACCACCCAGATGACAGATTTGATTTGCTTCCATTGCAATCAGAGGGGCCATTATAAGGCCAATTTATGAGTTTAGCATCAGGAGGACCAGTAGTAGCACCCACTCCGAAAACTCTAAGGATTACTGACGGTCGCCAAGGCAAGATAGAGACGCTAGTGGTTTGTAGCAAGGCATTTCAGATGATGGCCAAGGAGGCTCGTGTAACACCTGATGTGGCCACTGGTATATATTTTCTCATTATCTTCTTATTTATGTTATGTATCCTGCTTATATGTTTGTATTGCTTATTAGGGTAGTTTCTTGTGAATGGTATTCATGCGTTGGTCTTGTTCGATTCATGGGTACTCGATCTTTTGTATCCCTTATGCTTAACATGAGGTTTGATGATGTCCTAGGAGAGTTGGATTATCCACTAGAGGATGATATTATTGATGACCGTTTGCTGCGAGCATCGAGGGTTCACTGGGGATGCACCTTGGAGTTATTTAGTGAGCAGTATCCGATTAGCTTGGTTCCCTATTCCCCTATGCAAGAGCAATGTTATTGTAGGGATGGATTGGTTGAGACAAAATAGGGGAAATGATTGATTTTGGACTTCAGTTGGTACGTGTTCAGATCTCAAGTGGGGGAGAGTTGGTGATCCACGGTGAGGGTTCTCAACATGGGTCAACTCTTTGTTCGGCATCTAGGGCCAGATGTTATCTTTATTAGGATTTTCGGGTTTATGGCTTATGTGATGGATACCCAGGAGAAGGGGAGGTTATCAATGATGATGTACCAAATTTTCAAGAATGCCCGGATGTGTTCCCATAGGATTTTCCTGGTAGGAATAAGATTTAGAACCGGAAAATCGAATCGGAAGCAGAATCGGACCGGAATCGAAACCGTTAGAAATAGAAAATATAGAACAATTATCAGTCCCGGGTTTAAATAATTGATTTATCTAGGTTTTGGGTCCTTCGGATCTGGGTAAACTGGGTTTAAGAACCGTAACCATGTTAGGAACCGAAATCGTTTTTTGGGGCTGCAACCGGTTTTTATGAAAAGTTTAAAACATGCATATTTCATTTGTTTGAAATCGGATTGACATGGGTTTTTTCCGTAGAGTATTTTATAGTTTTCACATGATTTTAGACTATAATTTTGTCATTTTGATTTAGTATTCATCGACTTACAATCCCTCAAAGTCAGGATACTGAAGCTGGACATTTTATTTTATTTTTATTTTTATTAATTATTTTTTGGTATTATGTGATTATTTTAAGATATGCATATCTAATTCTTTTGATGTTGGAATAGCATGATGTTTTTTAAAAAGTGTACTATAGAGTTACTACATGGTTTTAGACTATAATTTTGTTATTTTTCGTTTCATATTCATTGACTTACAGTCCCCAAAGTCAGGATATTATAGCTATGAATTTTCTATTTTTCAACTTTATTTTTATATTTTGTGAAATTTTAAAAAGACATATCTAATTCGTTTGAATTCAGATTATAATGAGCTTTTTTGCAACTTGTAGTATAGAGTTTATACATGATTTTAGACTATAATTTTGTCATTTTTGGTTTCATATTCATTGACCTATAGTCCCTTAAAGTCAGGATATCAATGCTGTGAATTTTTTGTTTTTTATCTTTATTTTATATTTTGTGAAAACTTAAAATGCATTTCTAACTCTTTTGAAGTCGAATAATGATGAGGTTTCTTGCAACGTGTATTTTAGAGTTTTTGCATGATTTTAAACTATAATTTTGTCATTTTTTGTTCAATATTCAATGGCTTACAGTCCCCTAAAGTTTGGATATCAAAGTTGAAAATTTTCAATGTTCAACCACTAAGTAGTTACTAAAAAATTTCAGATTTCCCAAGTTTTCCAGCTCTAAAACCACTTTACCAGGTTCCACCCGACCCACTTTAATGTTTCCAGGTTTTTGAATTCTAGACCCACTTTACCCGACACCTTACACCGGTTCCTATATACCAGTCTAGTTTTTGGTCTTACAAAATCCCGTTAACCGGTTCTTGGGTTTTCTTGGTCTAGATCTACTGGTCTGGGTTTGGACCCACTGTCTCCTTATTGTTGGGAGTGCCTCCAGAGAGGCAAGTGGATATCAGATTGTATTTGTTCTAAGCACGGCTCCAATAACTAATGCACCTTATTGGTTAGCACCTCCAAAGATGCAAGAGTTTTCTACTTTGTTGCAGAAGCTGCTGGACAAGGATTCATTCGACAGGGTAGTTCACCTTGGGGAGCGCCAATCTTTTTTGTGAAGAAAAAGGATCGGATGTATCAGATGTGTATTGACTACCGGGAGATGAATAAGCTAATGGTAAGCACTGTTACCCACTCCCGATGATCGACAATTTATATGATCAACTTCAAGGTGGATATTGGTTCTCCAAGATTGATTTGTGTTCGGGTTATCATTAGATGAGGGTCAGAGAGGAGTACATGCACAAGATAGCCTTCCAGACTCGTTATGGTCACTACGAGTTCGTGGTGATGCCTATCGTGCTCACCAACGCTTCAACCACATTCATGGACCTCATGAATCGCGTATGTAGACCCATGTTGGATCGGTCCGTAATTATGTTAATTGATGAAATCATGGTTGTAACATTCCGTTTAAAATAAATAAAATTAAATAAGTAAATTAATAAAGTAGATAAATAAATAAATAATAAATCCTAAAACCCCGAGATACATTTTGTTATATGTTGTTTTATTGTATTTTAGCCCTAAAGTCGTATTAAATTAGTGGGGTGTACACCTTGGGGGTGTTAAAAGTTGTATTTTTGGATATTGAGGGTTAAAATTATAACATATGGACTTGTATTGAATAGATTCTT